GACTTTCATGAGCTTGATGCTTCTGGAATGTATAGGCTAGGAACCCCTCTCCTGCTGTTTATGTGACATCAAGACCAGAAAGAGGCTAGTCTGTTTCCTTCCCCTTCTACTCATCCAGGAGGCTTCTGGCCAGTAATGGGGCTGTTGGGAGTGGGGAGGAGAACTCAGGTAGAACTGGGCAGAAGCTCTGAGTAGCAGTCAAGTGAAGATTTAAAAAAATTTTCCCCCTTTTTTTCTTTTTAAAAGATTGGAGGGACATAGTTTTAAGCTTTTTGGAAACTAGTGTAATAGAAAAATAATTTATGAGGACAAACAGATGGCATAATGGTTATGTCGCTGGAGTCCCACATAGTCTACTCTAGTTCAAGTCTTGGACCCAGCAGCTTAAAACTCACACCGGACACATGTGCGTGCATGCCTAAAATCCCAAGAGGAGAATGGAGGAGAAGGGATTGTAGTGTGGCCATCTCTCCTAGGGGGTGATTTCTTGCTTCCTATCTTTCTGTATCTTTGGTGAGTACACATGCCCTATAGCAAAAATCTCTTAAAAAAGAAAAGAAAAGAAAAGAGAAATATTTTCTACTATTGAATTATTTTTTTTTAATTGCTAGAGGGTATATGTACTCACCAGAAAAAGAGAAAGCACCACCCTTCGGGCATGATGACATTGCAATTCTTTACCCTCTATTTCTCCATCCCATCAGGATCTTGGGCATGCACACATGTCCAATGTGTTTTTCAAGTCATTAGGGCCAGGATTTAAATGGAGGTCAGCCACATGGGATCGGGCTCCCTGTACATGGGGCTTAACCACTGCACTGCAGAACCAGCCCTGTGCTATTGCTTTTTTTTTTTTTTTGGAGAGGTTTTTGTTATAGGGTGTGTGCACTCACCAAACAGACAGAGAGAGACAGAGAGACAGAAAGCGAGAAATCACCCCTCAGGGGGGATGGCCACACCGTAATCCCTTCTCCTCCATTCTCCTCGTGGGATCTTGGGCACGCACGCACATGCGCCTGGCATGAGTTTTATGCCACTGGGTCTGGGATGTGAACTGTGGTTGACTACGTGGGAGTCCAGCGACATAGCCATTATGCTAACTGCTGGTCCTGCTATTGCATTTTTAAAAAAATGTGATCTCTGTTGTCAGTGCTAGGTACATCTCTGGCCACTCTGAGTTCTCTATTTCCTTCTGCCTGAAGCCTGGGTCTTACGCTGCTGAAGAGACAGCAGCTGGTGGAAAAAAAAAAAAAAAAAAAAACGAATTGGAGCCAACCTTGCAGCAGCTTAGTTTCATTTCCTTCTTGCTTCTTGGCCTTCTGTTCATTAACCCTCTTTCTCTATCTGCATTGTCTCTGATCACTGGTCCTTTCATCTAGATTGCAAGTAACCTCCTCCACAGAGGCGGCCCCCTCACTAATTCTACTATATGCTGGCCCTTCCCTTATACTGCATTTGTCCGTTGAACCCACATGGTCCCGGTTAACGTCATCATGTTATTGTGTATCTGTGTATTACCAGTGATTGCTCTTCAGTTATTTGATGTCTAGAAATATGTCTTCCCTTCCTAGTTAGTTCTTAAGTATTCTTAGGTGGGGGGTGTGATCTCCAGCATCCTTCTGTGTATCTTGCAGCGACTTGTAACAAATTGCCTTTCTGCCAACTTTCTATAAACGTGTGCTGAACCAGTGAATGCTTGTCCATGCATGGGCCTCCGTGCCTCACAGAACGTGCGTCCACATTCTTTCCGGATGTGTTGTACTTTGGATTATCTCCTTCTCTGTTCCTTACATTAGACTCTCTAGTAAAAAAGGCATTTAGTAACCCCTTGTTTTAAAGAGGACAAAGCTGAATCCCAGAAAGGTTATCCCAGCTGCTAGGTCTAGCTGGTGGCAAAACGAGGGCTAAAACCAAAAAGCCTATCTCCTGAAGTTCCACCTACTGCAAATGTCCCTTCCCACATCATTAACAAGTACAAATATTTTTATGAGGTAATCGTCAAAGAGTTCATGGCAGAGGTGTATTATGAAAGAAACGGGACAGATTTAAAATATTTTTGCCCCAGAATAAGCCCATACTTTAATTCCATTTTTCATGACCTTTCTGAAGTTCTCTCATGTTATTGCTATGAATCAAGTTAGCGGTGGCAGGGTAATGTCAAAGCTCGTGATTTATAAAGCTTCGAGCACAAAAAAGAAAATACAGTATTTTAATTGAAAATAGAAAAATGTAAAGACTAAAACCGATAGTTGGGGATGACTCATCATGCAGCAGTTACAGACACAGAAAGCTAGATCCCACATGGCTGACTGTTATTCAAATCCTGGCCCTGGGGGATTTAAAAGCTCACTGGGTTTGTGTGTGCTCTTGCCCCAAATCCCGACGGAATGGAGGATAAAAGATTGCCATGTGACCATGCTTCATTGGAAGGGGAGAGGGTACCTTCTCTTTCTCACTCTCTATCTCTCTCTCTCCCTCTCTAGAGAGCACACACACCTTTTAGCAGTAAAACAAACAAACTGGTAGCTGTATAAGAAATTCTGAAAATTAAGTTATTTAAAAAATTCAAATTAATTATTTGTACAGAATCTTTCCTGGGATACATTGACAGGAAAGTCTTGTGTTTCAAAAGATTTACGAGATTCCTACATTAGGAATTAGGGATCCTAAGGAGTTACAAAAAGTAACTAAAGGACTAGCATTTAGCTTCTTAAGCTCTATTAGTAAATTGTTTAGTTTATTTGTTACTCTCCTTTTGGAAAACACAAAAAATGGTGATTTTAATTTAGAAATAAGTAGTCCATAGGATTATTGTAGGTTATCAGGAAAGAGAATGTTTGAATGCTCAGAACTGTTTAAATTAGAGGTCTTCACTGTGTTTGTGCCATGGATCCCTTTGGTGTCTGGTGAAGCCTGTAGATTCCTTCTCAGAATAATGTTCTCTCTCTCTTTTTAAAAAATAGTTAGTTATTTAATTTAATTAATTTATTCATTATTTTAATTTGCTATAGGGCACATGTGCTTACCAGAGAGAGCGAGAGAAAGAGAAAGGGAAAGTGAGGAAATAAGCTGCCAGGTTTGGGACTTGAACCACAGTCAGCCATGTGAGAGTCCAGCACCTGAACTACCACATTACCTCTGGCCTCCAGAATAATATTTTCAAACTAATAAAGTAAAATATATAGGATTACAAAGAAAACACATTGAAATGTAGTTATTAAAATACTTTTAAGGGGCCAGCAGATGGCACAATGATACATCGCTGGACTCCCACATTGCTGACCACAGTCCGGGACCTGGAGGCTTCAAACTCACGCCAGGCACATGCCTGAAATCACAAGAGGAGAATGGAGGAGAAGAAGGGATTGTGGCATGGCCATCCCCTCTGGGGATGATTTCTCACTTTCTGTCTCTCTGTCTCTCCAGTGAGTGCACGCACCCTATAGCGAAAATCTGTTAAAAAAAAAATGAAAACAGGGAATTAGCAGTTAGCGTAATGGTTATGTTGCTGGACTCCCATGTAGTCGACCGCGGTTCACGTCCCGGACCCGGTAGCTTAAACCTCACGCCGGGCGCGTGTGCGTGCGTGCCCAAGATCCTGAGAGGAGAATGGAGGAGAAGGGATTGTGGCGTGACCATCCCCCCTGGGGGGTGATTTCTTGCTTTCTGTCTCTCTGTCTCTCTCTGTCTGTCTGACGAGCGCATGCGCCCTATAGCAAAAACAAACCTCTCCAAGAAAAAAAAAAAAAAGAAAATAAATGTATGATATTTTAATGAATATATGCTCCTTAGTTAATAGTTATTAATCCTGAATCTATTTCTTCACATGTTCATTTCAAAGCAGTGTGTCTTAGTCTACTCGCATTGACATAACAAAATACCATAACTTGATGGCTTAAATATTGGAAATTTATTTTCTCACAGCTCTGAAGCCTGGGCGTTAGTGTTGAGGGCACTGGCATGGTCGGTTTCTGGGGAGGGCTCTTTTCTTGGCTTATGGACTGCTGACTTCTCACTGTGGCTCACATGGCCTTTCCTCGGTGCTTCTACACAGCCTCTTCCTATACTGTGTCCAATGCTATTGAACCCCACTCTGAAGACCTCACTCAGCCCAAATTACCTCCTAAAAGCCCTTTCTCCAAATACAGTCACTCTAGAGGCTAAAACTTTAACATATGTGGAGACATAATTGAGTTTATAAATAGTAATAAGCACGCATACTTCAAAACATCCTCAGCGCACTATAATATGGTGTGAAAAAAGCTGTCATCAGCTGTCGGTGACAAAGTTACAGGTACTGCTACTGTGTTGCTTACATGATCATGGAAGGAAATGCTTAATTCCAGTAAAGGTAAGTGAAAATAAAAACAAGATTTCCTTTCTCATCTAAGTTCACAGCCACTCTGAAATTTTTTTTTTTTTTAGGAGAGATTTTTGTTACAGGGCACATGTGCTTGCTGGAGAGACAGAGACAGAAAGCGAGAAATCACCCCTCAGGGGGGATGGTCACATTGCAATCCCTTCTCCCCCATTCTCCTCTCAGGATTTTGGGCACGCACACACAAGCGCCTGGCATGGTCACTCTGAATTTTTAACAGGCACCCCACATTAAGAACTGCTGATACGAGGGCCAGCAGGTGATGTGATGGTTAAGGTGCTGGACTTCCCCATGGCTGACCATGGCTCAAGTCCCAGATCTGCAGCCTGCTTTCTTACTTTCTCTCTCTGGTCAAATTAGAAAATAATAAGTAAAATAAAATAAAATAATTATTAAAAAGAAGAACCCCTGATACATGCAAATAAAATGTTCTTGTTATGAGCAAATAAGTGGCATAACCCAGGATGGTGGGAACAGATTCTAAACTGATCTTTGTCCAGCCTTGACAGTTACCTGGGAGCAGAAAGCATGTGGAACCAAAAGGAGACGGCATCTGCTCTTTGGTTTCTTTCTGATAGTTTTGATTGTGTATTCAAGTATTGGAATGTGTTTTGTCCTGCAGATACCAAGAGCCAAAATACTGAACAAAATGCCTCTTGGACCTTTGAGAACTTCTGTTTGGATCCTTCTGTGAAAAGCGAATTGGAAACCAAAGAGGAGGATGAAGAACTTCGGAAATCTCTGGATAGATTCTATGAAACGTTTGGCCATCCACAACCAGTCTCTAGAAATTCACTCTCCGCATCTGTCTGCCAGTGCCTGACTCAGAAAATCACTGAACTAAGGGGCCAGGAGAGTCAAAAGTACACCCTTCGCTGTTTTCAGATGGCTCGGGTCATCTTCAACCGGGATGGATGCTCAGCCTTGCAGAGGCATTCCAGAGACGTCCGCTTCTATCCGCTTGGAGAAGGAAGTGCATCTCTGGATGATGAAAAGCCAACCCCAGGACTTTCAAAAGATGTTGTTCATTTTCTCTTACAGAAGAATGTGATGAAAGACCCATAATTCATGCCTGGTGGTGAGAGCAAGCTGTATTGGAGGTGGAGTGCAGGTGGCACCCAGACCCCTACTGGTCACTTCCCAGCCATGTGTGCCCAGCCCTCAGCCAAGTGCTTTGCAGTTAAAGGCTGGCCCCTGTGACCTGGTACTGGAGCCAGTTGGCCCATATGGAAAGCCAGCAGGGTCTGGGATCTTGTGTCCCTGGCCGCCCACCTCTCACCTCCCTCCCGCTCATGTTGGCTGAGGCCACTGACTATCTGGATTAGGAGCCAAAAGCCTAGCTTCCTTACCTCAAGGGAGGGCATAATCTGAGGCTTAATTTCTACTCCAGCGCCTCCTTTGGAAGCAGGCTGAGGCTGGTACCTCACATGAAATCACACCCTTGCTGGACTTCATCCCTTTCCCCAAGCTTCTATGGGATGAGTATTTTGCAATATACCAAGCTCTGTGCTGAATCAGGTATAAAAATTAAACTGAGCTGTAAAACTGAGACTATGTGATTGAGAACATCTATCCTAGGACAATATAAAGATTTAGTACATCATATCTTAATCATATCTCAATCATACCCTTACATCCTCTCCCAAGTCAGAATTCTGTTTCATAATATTAACTGGGTACAGAAGGAACATCGGGACCATCTAAAATAAGAGCTAAAATTCAGAGATTTTAAAAAAGTCTTTGTCTCCATCCAATTGCAAATATGAAAGGTGAGAAGCAAACAAATGCCACCCACCAAAGCAAGCGTAAGCACAGTTATGGTATGACACATTGGCGCCTCGTCAATCTGTGGTAGAAGAGGATAAGAAATCATTTGCCCAGACGGAGTCCTTCTTCCTCTCCTTTTTGTCTTCAGCCTTCCTGCTCCCAGCCCCTTTGTCATCCTCTAAACGGTTGGCCCTTCACCCTGTTCCGGCCTCTGACACCCTGTGCTCAGTCTGCAAACACTTGTCCAGAACAGGGCCTCCCTCAGCACTCTCCTGGCCCTGTCCTCTGAGGGAGCTCTGGAAATAGCCAGTGAAGGCTTGTGCTGGCAGATGCTCTGCTCTGCGGGTCATGTCCTGAACCCCATGTAGAGTTACAGCACCTGGCACCAGGCTCTCTGAAGCTGTAATTGGACGCCTCATACTAATCCCTTTCTCAACAGTTCTTCAGACAAATTACATTGACAGAAGGGTTAGATTGCTTGTTTGGGGGGACAACTAAAACTAGCAACTCTGTGCAATGAGATTTTGAGACACTTGAGGTGAAATTTAATTGCCGAAAGCTTTTCAGAGACGTATTGTGCAAATGGTAAGCCTTAACATGTACATTGAAAGTGAGCAGGCCATCTTAAGATGGTCTCTTGAGACCTAGGCAGAGACAGAAGCCTTTTAAAGGTTAGAAATGACATGCTCAGGCTTCCAGTTCTAGAGAGATCAGAAGTAAGAAATGGTGCTCCAAACTGAAATGGAACGGCATCCCTGGAAGGAAACCTAATTGTCAGGAAATGGGGAATGAATAGGTCTTTGAGAAATGCTTGAGGAAACAAAGCTCCAGGTGTTCCTCTGACAAGCAGTCGTCTGCCTCTTTCCCAGGGGGCTTCCGTGCAACAGACCCCAGATAATCATGAAACCAGTGGGACTGAACATCGAAAATCTACAGCTTAAAAATTATGCATGCTAGCTTTATTGTCTTGTAATGCGAATCATTAATAGACGTCCTTGAAGAATGCTGTAGTTTTCAGTATTTTTCAGTAACTGAAATATTTGCAATTAGTCTCCATGGCTACCAACAGAAGGAAACTGGATTATTTTATACTGCTTTTAAAGGACAAAAAAATAAAAAGCTGTTTGAATCTCCCTGTGGAGAAGCAACTGCTTCTATCTTGCAAAGAGATTTTAGTATCAGAAATTTCATAACCATCCTTAGTATCAGTGCTAAGGGGACTCAGCAAGAAGTGGACCACGAAAGCAGGGAAATTGAAAGTCTAAAACTCAGAATCACCTCAAGTGAAAAAAGAGTGTGGTGTGTGTTTACTTGTGTCCAAGTAAGTGTTTGTGACAGGTCAGTACAAGATATTTGTTTCCTGCACTCTCACTCCTTAATTTGATCTCTATGAGGTTAAGATAGCATTTTCCATTTATCTCTTTGAACCTTTAATAAAGACTAAGAGATAAGGATATTGAGACTCAGGCCTTTGGCATTATTGTCTAATTCTGCCTACAGATATATTCACCAACATCCTATCATTCCATGAACATGGTGACTGACCTATATTATTATCTGTGGCCCTTTACGAACTTACCAGGATCTTTGTGAAGATAGATTTACTGGCAGGAACATCAGAACTTTAAAGAAGAGAACTGCTGGGGCCAATAGATAGCATGGTGGCTGGGGGCACTGGACTCCCACATGGCCAGCTCTGGTTTGAGTCCTAGACCTAGTGGCTTGCTTTCTCACTTTCTCTCTCTTGCTCTTGCCCTACCCCTCTTTGGTCAAACTAAAAAACAAATTTAAAAAATAATAAAGTTAAAATAATTCTTCAAAGAAAAGAAAAGAACCAATATAAAAAGCAAAATGTAAGAATATGCAGAAAAGATTTTAAAAAGGAAAAGCCTTATCAACTATGAAAACATTTTAAATTCTTTATTAATTAAAGCAGCAACAAAGGAGAAATTGACAAATCAAAGAAAAAAATTAAATCCATAAAGAGATATAAATGCATTTGGAAATGGAGTACATAGTGAGGTGGGGCTTCAAATCCATAAGGAAAAAGATAGGAGCTGTTAGCAAGCAGTAGTCATTGACTCCCTACATTGGGGAAAGCAGCATGAAAAGGCTTGATTTCCTACTTTACTTCTCATATCAGATTAAATTCAGATGGATTAAAGATTCCAAATTAAAAACTAAAATCATAAAAATGCTCGAATGCAACATGAGTAATCGACGTATCTAAGAATAGAGAAGACCTTTCTAAGACTGGTATGAAACCTAAAAATCATAGAGGAAAAAAAATCTATGAAACTGACTGCTTAAAAATTTAAAACTTCAGGGCCAGCTGGTGGCATGGTGATCAAGATGGCTGGATTCTACCTGGCCAACAGTTCAAGTCCTGGACCCAGCAACTTGAAAAACACACCTGGCATGTGTGCCTGTGTGCCCAAAATCCCAAAAAGAGAATGGAGGTGTAGCCAATCCCTCCAGGGGGTTCTTTTTCATGTGTTCTCTCTCTCTCTCTGGCAAATTTTTTTTAAAAAAGAAAAACTTCTGTAGGCAAAATATATTTAAGGCCATACATATGATTAAAGCTAGGAAAATATTTGGAACACATATAACAGAGAAACTTTTTCTTCAACAGAATTCTTACAAATTGTTGAGACCAACAGATGGCATAACAGTTATGTCACTTGACTCCCACATAATCAATGGTGATTCAAGTCCCAGACCTGGTGGCTTAAAAACTCACGCTGGGCACGTGCGTGTATGAGAGGAGAATGGAGAAGGAATTGCAGCGTGGCCTTCCTCCTTTGGCAATTTCTTTCTGTCTCTCTGGTGAGCACACATGCCCTATAACAAAAAATCTCTCTCTCAAAAAAAAAGATGATAGGTTGCTATATTCAGGGACATTTAGTGTATGTTAAGGATAACTTTTTGAAATGCTGGTAAAAGAGGAATTACCTACATATACAATGAATGGTGAGAGGCTTATCTCATTTTTTGCTAAAAACTAACTTCCAGATGGATTAAGGATCTAAATTTAAAAAACAAACACTGTAAACATTGTAGATGACAATACAGGTAAGTGTTCTTCTATCTTTACAATGAGGAAAACCCTTCCTAAAAGAGTAGTAATGCAAAATAGTAAAAGAAACTGACAGTTTTGCTTGACATAAAAATGAAAACCTTGGGCCCAGCAGGTGATGTGGTGATTAAAGCGCTGAACTCCCACATGGCCAACCACAATTCAAGTCATGGACCTGGTGGCTTGAAAATCACCCCAAGCATGTGTGCCCCAAAATCTCAGGAAAAGAATGAAAGAGAAGGGATTGCAGTGTAGCCATCCCCTCAGGGGGGTGAGGTGATCATTCACTGTCTCTGTTTCTCTCTCTAGCAAGTGCATTTACCCTATAACAAAAACCTCCAAAAAGGGGTAGGGAAACAATGTTATAAGGACAGGAGCCAAATTGGGGGGGAGGGGGGGAAATATGCTACAGACATTAGCAAACAAGGATTTAAAATCTTAATACACGAAGATTTTCTGTAAATAAATACTAAAATGGCAAATGAATAGAAAACGAATGAAACATATGAACAGGAATTTCACAAAAGAAATGTGAATTGTCAATAAATAGGAACAACTGCTTGAACTAAGCCACAAAGAAATGGAGTTTTCAAAAGGTGTGCCATTTAAAAATGTATGTAGTTGGCAATACATTGAAAAGTTCATTCCCATCTAGTGTTAACAAAGTGCAGACATGGTCATTCTCATATTTAAGTGTGCAACACCCTTATAATTAAAGAAACAGTTGAAAAATGAAAAAACATAGGGACCAGGAGAATGGCTATGCCGCTGGACTCCCATGTAGTCAACGCGGGTCTAGTCCCGGACCTGGTGGTTTAAACTCATGCCTGACGCGTGTGCGTGCGTGCCCAAGATCCCGAGAGGAGAATGGAGGAGAAGCGATTGTGGCATGCCCATCCCCCCTGGGGGGTGATTTCTCGCTTTCTGTCTCTCTGTCTCTTTCTGTCTTTCTGGCGAGCACACTCGCTGTATAACTAAAACCTCTCCAGAAAAAAAAAAAAAATTAAAAACATAGACTCGGCCTTGTCACATATTCTCTTCCATGCTCTTCCAACGGGTAATGGATAGCACTTTCTGGCGAGCACACTCGCTGTATAACTAAAACCTCTCCAGAAAAAAAAAAAAAATTAAAAACATAGACTCGGCCTTGTCACATATTCTCTTCCATGCTTCTCATTACCCGTTGGATAGCAGCCAGCCTCTGCCCACATGCCACCTCCTTAAGCTCCATTTTGTTTTGTTTTGTTTTCTTTAACCAACATGTTTTGAGGTAGGATTGTCGAGTACGCGCTACCCATCAACATTCGTTTCAAACATCACTGTTACTAGCCCCATTTTACAGATGGGGAAAACGAGGCGTGAGATGCTGATAGATATTCCAGGTGATGCCAAAACCTAGGTCCAACTTGCTTCCCTGCCTCCCAACTCTGAGCCATCCAAGATGCTGCTCCTTTTGCCTGGAAGGTCCCTTCCTTAGAGACCTCTTTCCAGACCACTCCATCCCTCTCCCCTCCCACCACCACTGGGAGGGGCTCTCTTTTAAATACTCCAGCAGCACTGTGAGCTTTACTTTCCTAATTTAATTACACCAGACAAATGTAATAATGTGGTGTGGTTAGTCTCCCATACTCCTGCCAAAGGAGCATGAGCTCTGTCTCGTTCACCCATGTTAGCACATCCAGACCAGCCAACTGATGCTCCACCATTATATCGAACAAAATATAGGGTGATGTCCTTATTTTTTAGAAATGTATATGAAGGATCTAAAGATAAAATATCTTCATGTCTGTAATTTAGTTTAAAATACTTTAACAGAAGCAAGGTGAAGCACATATGATAAACTGGTTTGCCTGTTGGTTTGTGTACATCCAGTTAATGACTAATTGCTCGATTTTTGCTGCATTTTGGCTTAAAATGCTTGTTTATTCCTTTTCCTCTCTACATTCTCGTTCTCTCTAGTCGCTTCACAGTACTTGATTCTTTTAGACTCTACTTCCTTCTCAAGGGGAAAATTACCTTCTCTGTGTGTCTGAGCTCAGTCCTCATGAGTGAGTTCACATTGGGAGAAAGAACTTATTAAGATGATTGACAACCTGTTTGGGATAAAGATTCCCTTGGTAAATATGCTTGTGGTCCAGACCAGGCATTTGCTTACTCTCTTCTTTATTAAATCACTAAGAGCTGTGCATCAGAGGTAGCAGTTTTATCAACAACCAAACCAAAACTTCTCCAAATTCACCCGAGTGAATCTTTTCCAGCTAATGTCTCAGTGGGTGGTGTATTTAAGGAAGACATAAGACTTAGCATCCCTATCCTCTCTGTGGAATTTTCCTTTGCTTCCTTCAACATTTGCTGTTTCATGTTAGATGTCTTGAACACACTTTATTATTTCATGAGAATGTAACTCGTGTGTATTTCATACTATGAAAGTTTTCTGGTCGCCTTCACAAGTTCCTCCTGAGATCTTGGTTAATGCCGTGGCATTGACTCTTTAGAAGATATTCAGACCATTTGGAAGGGAGTGCTCTAATTAGAATTCCCAGCAGCGAGGATGCAATAAAGCCTAACTGTGGGCTGGTTTTCATGTTCTCTCTCATATCCTTGGCATTTTCTTTTTCTCTCTTCCTTTTTCATCATATATTTATAGGTCTCTTTTATCTTGAGAAAAGTATACACACATATTCCTGTACAAAAATAAAATCTTTAATCACAGTTAGCTTTTGTCCAGCTTCTCCTCAGTTTGAGATCTGGCTTTGCCACTGTGTGCCCTGAAGTAAGTTACTCAGTCTCTTGGAGCTGGAGTTTTCTTATCTGCAAATTATGGATACTAGGTGATCTCTGTGTCTCACAGTCTTTATGAGGTTCTTATAAATGAACGACTGTCAAGTGTATATGTAAACAAAATGAGTCCAAAAATGCTTGTAAAATTATAGAGCACAGTAAAATGGTGAAATGGCTCCATTTGTTCCATGTTCCCTAATTCCTTATCCCTTTCTATTCTAGTCTCCGTCATCACCACATCTGTTTAAGCCCTACTCAGCTGGGACAGTAACTAGCAACTATCTCCCCTGAAAATAAGGTTAGTCACCCCCTTAAATTCCAGAAGAAACTTTTTAAAAGCCTGTCAGTTCCATGCAGTTTTGGTTAATATGATTTTGTAGTATATCTTGAAGCCAGGCAGTGTGATGCCACCAACTTTGTTCTTTTTTGCAGAATTCCTTTGGCTAGTTGGGTGCTTTTATGGTTCCAAACAAATTTTAAGGTTGTTTTTTCTGTTTCTGTGAAGAATGTCACTGATATTTTAATAGGGAACTTTACTAAATTTGTATATCACTTTGGGTAGAATCAACATTTTACCTAAATTGATTTTTCCAATTCATGAATATGGAATGTCTTTCCATTTTTGTGTGTTTTCTTTCATTTTTTTTCTTTAGAGTTTTATGATTTTTATTATAGAGATCTTTCATCTCCTTGGTTAAATTTATTCCTAGGTATATCTTGACATTTAGAGAGGTATTTGAAAAAGCAAAAGATTGGAAGCAACACCAACATTTTACCTAAA